TTTGGTGACGGAACCTGGTTCACTTTGAAATCTAAACGGCATACATTTGAGAGGAGCTTCCGCTCATCAATAGTCGACTCGGATATGGCTTGGTGAAATACTTGTCCGCCGTATTGAATCCTGCTTAGAAATCACTCGCTCGATGCTGAATCACCTCATAAATTCTGTCCCGGCGACTGTTCAAAAGGGCACCACAAAATCGTGATGCAATATTGGCCCCGGTGCGCCTACCTATAAGTGGTTGGCTGTTTCTGTAATGCGCAGAACACATGCAGATTCTGCGAACAGTTGGCCACGAAAATCCAAGCCTTCTGCCGTGTTAGTGATTTATCGTCCAAAATGGCCGTAACTTGGGACATTTTTCAGTCAGGCAAATTGAAATGGGCCGCATGATTCGCGGGATATTGCGCGCCTGTTGGCTGCCAAATGGATGTCTCTGTTGACTGACGAGCGGCAGGCGCGGCCGGGCCCAAATAGAGGCTGAGGAGCGGCGTCACCTGCTGAGCTATTGAACCCGGCCGGGCAACACGTGTCAACAATGGCAGCCAAAGCACGGGCTATTGCGTCATGGGCAGAGACCAGTAAAAATATAATATTATTTCACTATTTGTGTCCTCTAAACAAGCAGTGGTTACTTCATCAATAACCATTGGGGAAGACAGCCGCAATTAGCATTATTCAGTGCCGCAGTTTGCGACTGCCGTATATGGTAGGTCGGCATCTGTGCCGGCTGATTTGGATGCGGAAGAGCGGAGATCCCTTGTCGACGGCGTGCCCAGGTGCAGCGGGTGCATGAATTCCCCCTCACCGGGCGCCAGTGACGCTGATGATCCTCTGGACGATCGGCGCGGCTGGGGCCGGTCATCCGTCACCGCGCCCGGACCTGACACAGCCGGATCGTGCCTCGATGTTCAGTCCGCCGACAGGACCAGACGGCTGCACCGGCAGGGGCCGGGCTGCTCAGCTTTAGAGAGGTTCTTCGAGCTGCGCCCATTGATGGAAACCGGAGACTTCGATAGCTTATCGCTGCAATTTCCGAAGAGTTGCCTAAAATGCCACCGATCGCTGTCATTGTACTGACTATCCGGAAATCACTGTCGTGATCCGGAGATTAGTATTAGTATGATCGTTCCGAGTTGTTACGTTGCCTCCTTCAAGCGAGCATTGACTGGCACACAATCTGAACAGTCTCAACAGCTCCCGGCCTAGCGCGGGATTCCAGTTTCCATCAAGACAGTGTCTCGTTACTTGTTATCTTGCAGCCCCGCCCTGGAGACTGCTCAAAGGTGACGAGGAGGCCTGCCTGTCAACAGTAGCCGGTATGTGTCAGTCTCTCGGGGAGGTAGTTGAGTAGCTCACTATACGCAACTCTGGAGTCTGGCGACTGCTGGCTGACGGGAGGGACTGAAATCAGTCGGGAAGGGGTATTGAGTCCGTGCCGTGTGGACTGTTTGGGGGGGGGGGTTGAGCTGGTTTTCACCCTCCCGGAGCTTCTTGCAAATAGTTTTTTTTAATGATGTTAGACAATGCATCGGCCTCAAATCAAATGAGGAGCCGGCGTCAGACTTCATAAGCTTTCCGGTCGGCTGGTCTTTGATAGCTGTGGGCTTCAACCAGCCGTTTAGAACACAGGGAGGGCCGATGGGAGGAGATACCGGGCGAGCCGCAGTCAAGCAGCCATTTTTCGCCCGGCGGGGCAGTGTCTCACTTGCTCGCTCGATAGAATCTGCAAAGGACATTGGGGACTCCAGCTGAGCTCTGTAAAGAAGTCAAAAGGACGTTACAGAACGGCACGACCACCGCTGGTGTCTCTGTGCTTTTATATATTGCATGCTTCGGACGTATAATCTGTCGACTCTCTGGTCATTTTGCTGGCGAGGAGCGCGTTGAGGTCTCTGACGATCCCGCAGCGCTTCATTCTACAGCGGAGAATGATCCAATCTGCACTCCTCACGAGGTTTCCCAAATGACAACGGGGGCGGAAGGTCAGCCGGTGACCTTTGGCGACCTTTCTGTGACCTGTGACCTGTGGAATCGGCTGAGAGGACCGAGGGCTGATTGTACTATGTCACGCAGTGAACCGGAACAAACGGGATTGGCCGGCGTCCGGGGGACAGTGAACGATGAGACAGATGTGTGCGGGAGACAGTCGCGGCTCATCTGAAAATGGTCGCGGACAGACCGAGCTATGGGGAAATGATATTCAGATTTGGAGACTTTTTCCGTGCTCACTGAATAAGTGGCATGCATGATGTGATGGTGGGAATATCGATGCGCAGTGCTCGGCCTTCGTTTTCACAACGGTCAATCTTTGTCAGAGCTCCTGCACAACTTCTGGGACGCTCGTACTGCTCCTGACGTCACCAAAGGCATGCTAGCCCCGTTTTCGTGTTGATGTGAGTCAATAAAATGATCACATCGATCGCCCAATCACTGTGGAACTAGCGGTGTTTAACTTAGTGGCGTATGGAGCCCTCCTGTTCCGTGCCCTAAGGCGCGCTCCATTGTGTGCCACCCATAAGCAAACTATGCAATGGTGCACTTGCACGGAGTGAGGTCCTTAAAACGCTGCACAGTATTCAAACTCTGCACACTCAGCCATTAATGTGCTGTTGGACGCCGCCGACCTCGGTTTTCATGAGTGCGGAAATCTCGGCTGCGGCCATGACCGTTAGGAGCCCGGCTGATTTATCGGGCGCGCTATTCGGAAAATTCATGGCGATGTTCACGGCACTATGAATGCATGACGTTGCCAGCCGGGCGCGATAGTGACCGTCGGTTTAGCGACATTATGCCACTGGCTGCTCGGCTGGTCACCGGGGAGCGACGCCGATAAAAGTCGGGACCACTTATTACATTTATTGTGTTCACTTCATATAGGTAGATATATTGAATGTTTTGCTTATCACAAAGTAAATTGATGCTCATCAGTCATCATGTTGTACCTATTGATGTTCTGTTCGTTACGACTTGAAACGGCAAGATAAAAGATATTATACCAACGTGCAACATATTTTGATTTTTGTGACTTCAGTGGAACGTTGATCGACGCATGAAAGCTCGAAACATACAAAATGCATTTGAATTTTGATGCAATTGCTCACTTCACGGAGCATTTGTCAGCGGCAGCAGTCCGTTTTGGACAAAACTCAGCTAACCAACTCTGTAAGCATTGTGCAATCGCTGGTGTACAACTTCCAGTTTTATAATATTCAGAGAGTGGAGATCACGAATCCGAAGAAAACTGATCCGGTGCGGTATGATACTATCTCCATCCGCTCAACCCATGGGCCATGACTGTCAATGTAGTCGGTATTGCATTGCATGTATTCATTGGATATATGTGAAACCCACCGATAAGGATTACTCGCGGTTTGAAGTCATGGGTCATGACATCATGACCGAAAACGGAACACGATTTTCTGGCGGCTTAAACCAGACAGAATTACGCAATGGACGAGTCTCATGACTCTCAACTGCACGGAAAATCGCTGACCTGCCCAGAATTAATGTAAAAATGCTACATCGACTTCACCGGAATTTTTAAATGAAATTCTGCGTCCCAAACCGGCCGGCCGGAATCTAAAGCAGTGGCGGCGGTAGCGACCGGCGCCTCGATCGGTCGCGTCGACAGTCACTGGGGAGCACTGCAGGTGATATCAGCGCCTGCTGACGGTCACCGCGATGGAGCCTTTGAGATATGTCTGCGAGACATGACCCGCGGCCGGGCAGCAGCTCCTCGCCACTGCAGCCGTAGGGCACCGATTCGGGTCAAGGCGCTGACTGCCGGGCGCTCCCCCGCTCCGCCGCGCTGCTCCGCCGGTCAGACGGGCGAGAGATGTATCTCCAGTCGACCGTCGCCGCCGGTCAGACTGGTGCTAGATGTAACTATCCGACCGTCGCCTCCGGCCGAGAGCGGAAGGCCAGTTCTGCCAAGCCAGCACTGCGCAGCGCTCGGAGGGGTCGACTGGTACCTTCGATAGACGCCGCGGTAGTGACCCTGAGCGGCTCGGTCCACCGGGTTCAACTCCATCCGCGGGGATCTGAGCGAATCACTGGGACGGGGAACATTCCCGATCTTGCTGCGCGCCTCACTGCTCATATCCAGCCATCACGGAGCGGGCGGGGGACTTGGATCATGGCATTGGCCACTGAGCACCGAACAATATCAGTCTACAGGCGACGGGCGGGCGGACGGATATACTGACAGACGGACATACATACAGAGTGAAAGACAAAAAAAAAATGGACAAACAGACCGACTAGCGGGCTGCAGCGACCTGGGTACGAAGGGGGTATGGATGGCCTTCCATGAGCCCCTCTCCAAGACAAGGAAGTCTATCTCTATGCAGCCGGCCCCTGCGCCGTCAACCGGCTCCAGTCCTGCACCTATCGGCGCGGCGGCCCGTGCACCGATGAGAGATGGTTCAGGTCACGGACAGTAGACCGAGAGGCACCGAGTGGATACTGACTGTGATAGACCTCACCCGGCCCTCAGCCGGTGTTTGCAACCTTGCAGGAAACGGAGCGATAATGCATTACTGTCGCAGGAGGGTGACTGCATCTCTCTGGCCTCTGGGTGGCTCGAAAACAGTGGTATCAGGGACGAAGAAAAAATATCTAAATGAAAGTGCACAGGGCTTTAGATTCCCCGCACCGCCCCTGACCTCCCTCCGGCTCTAGATGTCCTCTGACTTGTCAACCAGACTCTAAATGACCCCTGGCCTGTGGCTGTCACCTCCCGCCACTGGCTCCAGCTGACCTCTGACCTGCCCCGGCTCCAGATGACCCCTGACCGGCCCGGTTCCATCTGACCTTTGACCTGCCCCTGGCTCCCTCTGACCTCTGATCTACCTCGAGGAGTGCTGTTGACCTGCCCCGCGCCCACAGCTAGCCCCTGACTCCAGCTGACCTCTGATCAGTGTCCTGACTCCAACTGACCTCATAACCTGCCCCCGGGTTCTGCTGACCCCTGACCTGTACCCCGTGCTGTCCTGCAGACCGGAGCGGCCCCGCCAGCCGAGCCGGCCGTCCAGCGACGCCGGCTGTCTGTCGGGCCGGCGGCGGCACTCGTCTAGTCCTTCCTCGGTGCAGCGGCGCAATCGACACAAACTGAGTCATCGTCTGCGGCAGGACAGCTACGGACGCCGTCAGGACAGCTGCGGCAGCCGTCAGGACAGCTGCAGCAGTCAGGTGAGACTGGGCAGGACAGCCGCAGTAGTCAGGTGAGACAGAACAGGACACCTGCAGTTTGCAGGTGAGGCAGGGCAGGGCAGTTGCAGCAGTCCGGTGAGACAGGACAGGACAGCTGCAGCAGTCAGGTGAGACTGGGCAGTGGGCAGGGCAGTTGCAGCAGTCAGGTGAGACAGGATAGGACAGCTGCAGTAGTCAGGTGAGGCAGAACAAGACAGCTGCTGGAGCTAATAAGTGATAGGACAGCTGCAGCAGTCAGATGAGGCAAGACGGGACAGTTGTGCCATCAACCAGGAGGATCCTCTAATTTAACGATGGAGGGACCGGCGTTCTGGAGCACATCGCCACCAGCCGCGGTGGCCGGGAGGCCGGGAGGAAAACCTTCGGCAGTGATACAAACGTGAAGCTAGGTCTCGTGGGTGTGCATACGAGCGTGGTGATTAGGCTCGTATTTGGTGATTAGTATTCAGGTGAGGGCGTGTTGTCCAGTTACGCCCCCACCTCGCCGAGCCAGCTAAGAGAGTGATTTAGCCGACCCAAACACTGCCCTAATAGGAACGCAAATGCTTCCGACACTCGTTCTCGTAATTGTAACTTAGAAATTAAGCTAAATAAACAATTAAACCTATGAGGCATTACATTTAATTAGTTTAAATCGTTCCAGTTTGTTAGAAGCAGAGAGTAACTATCATTAAATTAGTATTCACGCTACTGATGATGACATAATGTGGAGCATTAGCGTGCAGCCTTGATATCTAACCAGTCACTGCATTAGGCGCGGTTCATTTCCGCTCCGGTGTGGCCAGCTCTGGCCAGTTCCGCGGAGGTGGCCCGTGCACCACCAGTTGCTGATGCGAAGGTCGGCCGTCTCATCCCTCCCCCCCCCCCCCCGCCTCGGGGAGGAACTGTCTCGACGGAGCGCGGGTGGAGACGGTGTCGGGTGACCGGGGGGAAGGGGGAGGGGTGCGGCTGACACGCCCTGCAGTGGCGCTGAGAGTAGAGATGATTGAAGATGGTTCGGGAGTTTGATCAACGATGCGGGTGTCAATTGACATTTATCCAGGTGAAATGAATATCTTTGACGGGAAGCTGAAATTATTATCTTGGAGACTATTTACAAAGTCCTGCAGCGAATCTGCATAGGTGCACTAGCTAGTCAGGAAGTGTCTCGTCTCGTCTCGTGTCTCGTCTCGTCTCGCCCGCACATGCCATTTTCCCATCCTAGAACGCACATGGGGGGGGGGGGTGGTTGCCACCCCCCCCCCCGCGCCGTTTCGTTCCTGTTGGAGATAGAGCTTAGCAGTAAAGACCAAAAAGATTCTTTAAGAGACGAATCCAATGATACCCAGTTTTACCTTCTCAGGTCAGTCATTGACCTTCCAGGTCAGGTCAAACTAAAAAATGTTGCTGTTTTGGGTCACCGTTGGATATCAAGTGCGCTGCTTATCAAATACCGATGACGATGCTGTTTTCTGGTGCCAAGCCAGCTAGAACCTCTTTGTCACACTATCCGACCAGAATTTTGCTGCTGAGGTCATTTCAGGTCAAGTTAGGTCAAGGTCAATATGTGTTTGTATGTCTGTGTGTGTCTGTGTGTATACTGATGTGTGCACCGATTGTTTTTGGGTCCATATCACATGAAATCATGATCTGAGAAGCTTTTACCAAAAATGCAGTCAAAAACTTCACAAAAAGTAAATTCAGCTTGCCTAAAACGCAATTATCTTAGATGACCTAGGTTGACCTTGACCCTGACCTTGACCCCTGTACATCGTCGAACAACATGTTCCATGATAGGTGGGAGGTAAGACTGGCAAAAAAGGCCGAAATCAGGTGTCAAAAGCTCACAAGGCCCATGGCAAACGCAAGATGTTGAGAATTGGCCATTTGGGTCATGACATGACCTGAAAAACAAGGTCATATCTCCGAAACCAAATATCACAGAAACTTGAAATTTTCAGTGGACATCAAGAAAGAATAGACGAGCAGCTATACGAAAAATCAGCCTTCTAGCTCTAAAAATATTGAGTGCAGAGCAGAAAGACTGCCTGGGGGGGGTGGCAACCCCCCCCATGTGCGGGCGAGGGTTAACGTTGTTTGGTCGCCACCGACTAAAACAGCGCCTCGGTTGAATTCCGATTTAGTTAACTTTTACTTGCCCTTGGTCTCAGTGAGCCGGTGCCGGTGCCTCAATTCATGTAGCCATGGCCAATGACTGGGCTGATTTCATGGATGGTCGTCTCGGCTGAGGATTTTATGATGGAGAGCGATGAGGCCTGACTCTTGTCACGATTCTGGCAGCAAAACTTTCCGACAGCAGCCTGCTGGCTGCCCTTGACCTCGCCCTGGGGCTGGGCCATGATGAGGACCATGAACAAAACTCCATGACCCATATCATTTAGTTTATCACATTTCTGCAGCGGCGCCACCAAGCGCTAACTGCAGGACTTTGCCTTATGGCTGATCATAACCCAGATGCTTTGTGATTTACAGACCATGATCACGACAGCAGCTCCCAGTCTATTGGTCAGTTGGAATGTCTGCGGTCACAAAAGTTTTCTAGCACATGCTCTCATGCTAGTGTTCACCCGCCCGTCTGTGGGTTATTTCTCCGCCGAAATAATATGTAACTGAGGTCGTCCGACCGCGCCGCGTCTCTTGGCATATGTCTGCCGCCGCCGTCCGGTGTCTGCCGCCTCCTCCCCCGCCTGTGAAGTGCTCAGCTCCCAGCACCGGTAGACGGCCAATTTCCGCGGTGGTCGGCCGTCAGCGCGGTTACGACGCCCGCTGAGCACACCCGAGTACGACCTGAGTACGGCGCCCAGCGGCCGTTCCCCCGGCACCCGAGCACAGCCCGGTACGGCGACCTGGCTCACCGGTACGCCAAGCACGTCCCAGCAGAACGGCGGCGCGGCGTGCTGCGTGGAACAGGCAGACGTTCTCATCAGGCCGTGCTCGATCGAGACGTGCTCATACGGCGCGCCATCACATGGGAGATGCGCTCGTCTCGGCCGATGGGCTTCCATCTGGCGTCATTTGGAACGCCGGAGTGCAATGTGGACGGAATGAGACATCCAGCCGCTCCGCCGCAGGAGGCTGGCGAGGTAGTGTGGCTCATATAACTGATGATACGCGGCACACCGCACTCCACAGCGCTGGCGAATGGAACACACCGTCTGTGTTTAATTTCGGACCATCTCCCGGTATTGTAGTCACTTCGCCAGACGGCGCTTCATTACACGGCCAGTTTTGGACACTTCGCCAGCAATGTGCCAGGAGCGGCGCGGTTCTGCTTACGGTGCAGCCGCCTTCGGTGTCTGCAGCGGCGAGTTTTAGCTCGATTATATAGCGGCGAGGTTTCGGCGGCAGTTTGAGGGTGTTGCGGATTTTATGATCGCCGGGAACGACCAGGCGTTGACATCAATCTCTACTTACCGTAGCTTAAACACCTCCGCAAACATGGGGATTATTTTCATCGGCATTAGATTTGGTTGAGGTAGCATTAATTTATTATTTCTTAAGAAATTAATTCATACCGTTTTTTTTCTCTCTGTCACTATCGGATAGTATCTGATTTATCTTTTTTAACGTACGACCAGCAATCAAGAAATAACAATTACATCACGGAATACGCCACACTCACCGCTAACCGCCACGGTAAACGCCGAGCATCTTGACGGCGCCGCTCCCATTGGCCCGTCCCTGAGCATCCCATCAATCTACCGATGACAGCCACGGTCGGACGACCCCTGCTGTCCGCCTGCCGACCCGCCGCTCGTCACCGATCGTCACGCCGTTACTGCGTCACGCCGACCGTGACCCGACTTCGTCACGGCCGTCACCCGTCTTCCGTCACTCCCTCATTTGTCACTCTCCTCGATCAGCTGCAGAGTTTCTGCGTCTCGTGGAGACGCCCAGCGAGAGAAGGTTGTGTTTGGTCAGTGGTTGGTGTCGTACTGACCTCGACCCCGACCTGGGTCGTGACCTGTGACCCGATCTGACCTGAGCTGCTGTCCTGAGTCAGGTCAGGACTCCTGACCTGTGCCATAGGAAGGAAGGGCGCGCCAGAACGCCATGGCCGACCGGACAGCCCTGAAAGACCTCAGTCCTCGTGCTGGCAAGACCTCGTGCTCATACCTCGGTCGAGGAAGTCTGAGACCGATGCCTATCGCCATGCGATGCATGTCGTTTACGGGACGGGTGCGGTCAGGAAACGATCAACTACCCACGCCCACACATACCAGATATACATCGGAGGTTATCCGTTACCTATGCATCAAGGTCTCAATCGGCTCTCTCTCCCTCCCTCCCTCCCTCTCTCTCTCCCTCCCTCCCTCTACCTCGCTCTCGCTTTCGGTTGTTGAGCAAACAGTGGGAAGCTTACCTACTAAAGTAACGCCATAGCCCATAAGCATGCCCTTTTTCGTATAACAGTATAGGTGCTGCTGTCATCGAGGGTCTCGTTGAGGGAGTGGTAAGACAATTAAAAATATAAACAATCATACCTAAAACTAATTTATTCGAAAGCTAGATCTTAGGGCTAGCTTTGTTTTGGAATCCTATTTAAATTCTGCGGCGCACCTCTCTAATTCTTTGAGGATCTCTGCTGGTGCCAGCTTTGGACCCATCTTCATCCATTTGCCTGCGACGTAGCCATTTTGGAACATCGCTTATCCCCTCATCTTTTCTGTTTGACACTACTCGCACCATTTCGGTCCGTGGATTTGTATTGTATATGCAGATCGGCTTTGTTCTGGTCGCTCCCCGATTTAGGCTGAAGCTGACCGCTGTTTTGCGCATCGCATCCTCTGGCCAGCGACAGCTTCAAAGTCGTTTCACTCCCAGTTTGGCCTGTGTTGTCAGCCACTTATGCATATCACCGTATGTATGCGCGGAGTCCAGTCTTTCCACCTTCCACTGCTCGGATTTACAAACACTCCAGTCTGGAAATGCGTTCGACGGTCGCAGTTTTCCGGTCTACCGCAGCCTACTTACTCTTCAGAAACTCGGGGAATGGTATAAATCGACAGGAATATGTATAGTGGCTGACGGCACAGTGACGAGCAGCAACTGTCAAGCCCACAACGGACAGTCGACACTCGACAGCGGACAGCCGACAGCGGACAACAGACAGTGGGACAGCGAGACAGCCGACAGCCCAAAGCCCACAGCGGGACAACCGACAGTGGGACAGCAGACAGCCGACAGCGGGACAGCCAACAACAGACAGCGGGACAGCCGACAGCTGGGTAGCGTGGCATCCGACAGCGGCGCACGTCTGCGGTCTCCCCGCGGTACTTGTCATTCCGATCTCGGGCCGATATTCCGTCCCGATGTCATCACGGCTCGGACTGCCCGACCACGGATGTCGATAGGCAGCCGGCACGCGGACGGACGGGGATGAGGCCGGGCGGAGTGGAGACGGCGGCTCCCGGGGGACCAGGCGCCGCTCAGATAGGGCGGACTCGGGGATTATCAGGGAGGTGCATGCAGGTAGGATCAACTGCAGGACCCACGGGGAGGTTCTCAGGTGTTAGGAGGATGGACTGAGGGATACACATTACACATGCAAGGGGATGGGGAAGAGCCGCTCGAGCCGGGCAGTTGGTGGACTGACGACATCTAGATTTTTGAATTAATTGTGCATTTTTGTGAATTTTTGTGAATTTTCTCGTGATACCTATAGCATTATGCAATGCATCCCATGTTCCGTGGTCTCTCAGCTTTGTTCGCTCCAGCGCAACAGCAATCGTGTGCATTATTATCCGCTTCCTAATTGGTTGGTATTACATTTTTAGTACATTTGTTGAGAATCATGATGCCACCGCCCGGCGCCCGGCGCGATCTATCATAATATCGCGCTGTGGGCGACCTCTGGTGCCTGGCAATGAGCTCGCTTCCCGAGGCCCGTATGTAGATGGCAGCACAATATCACTCGGACCCGAGACCGCGTTTCGGACATCTGACCTGCTTTTAGCAACTCTGGGGCTGTCGGACGGGAAGATTACGCCTATTACGCCTTTGTCTTTTGGTCTCTCTTTCATTTTTTTTTTTGCTGATAAACACACCGCACGAAGAACATTTAGTATTTTGTCCATGGATTGTAGCTGAGCCGACATAATCTCGTCGAAGGATCTCAACTCATCACGGCTGTTTTCCGATCATTGCTAAATTCTGCGGAGCGCCATATTCAGAGGTGATTCGCTATTCAGTCTCCGATCTTGGCTGGCTTAGCGAGTCTGTCACATCTGATAATAGGCTGAGCTTCAGTTCAGTTGCACCTGTCCCGGATGAGTAGTGAGTACCTACCTGCCAACTGCAGCATTCCCGAGGCGGCTTTATACGTCCAATTATGCTGATCCCGGCCGTCCCTCCATTGAGTCGGCCGTATAGCTCATCGGTCGTCTCCTAAGAAGCGGCTGAACATACGAGTATCCCCTAGGAGCGGCTGGACATCTCTCTCGCATGGTGACCAGAGATCTCTCATCTCCTTCCAGGACAACTGGACATTTCCCTCAGGGGCAGCCAATTGTGTCTGGGAACCCTGTCGTCCAGAGCGCTGGCCTCTACAGGCCCCGTTCGGGGTCTAGAGAGAGATGGCCCCGTCTAGAGAGCGGTGGGCCCTGTTCAGAGAGCGGGGGTCCCGGAGGGTGGTGGGTCCTTGCTCGGGGACAGTGGGCCCTCCGGTAGACCCTGTGTCCAGGGCTGCGGGGTCGATGGACTTTCGGCGACTCTGACTCCGCCTCCGACTCCGGCTTTCAAAAACTAGCTCCGACTCCGAACGACTCCAACTCCGACTCTGACTCGGGACTCCGCAGACCTAGCAGGGCTGCGGAGTCGACGTATTTTCGATGACTCCGACTCGGACTCCAGCTCGGGTTTCCAAATTCGACTCCGACTCCGACTCCGACTCCGCAGCCCTGCCTGTGTCAGTGTCGCCCGCTGCAGAATCTGGTTATCCTTGGTTTTTGTTCCTCTCTCCACCATTGCAGATGCTGTGTGTTTGCACAACGAGTCGGTATCCCAAACAAGGCAGTACGGACGCAATGCGCTCCCTTCACCGCCGCATCTGGCCGTGGCCGTGATTCCCGCTCGCCAGCATTTGGCATTCTGACCTTTTGAGTTGTTTCAAACTTATTGGTAATAAATCCCGGTTGCTGCTGATAAGCAGCAATAGGCATGATAAAATAATTCATTAGAATGCGACCATTCCGGGACCGTGGCAGCCCTCGAGTCGCGTCTGTCTTTGAATATAATTCACTGGTCTTAAACGGGGCATTGCAGCCTGCAGGCCGAAAATATCTCCTGGTGGTTCCCCGTGTCACCTGATGTTCTCTGACGTCTCGTCGTGTCTCCTGATCTCTCTCCCGCAGCGCACCTTCTTATGGTCTTTCTCCCCGTCTCCTGATGCCTCTCCCCGTCTCGTAATGGTCTCTCTTTGTCTCTGTCTCTCTGCATGGAGACGGAGCCGGGTGACAGACGCCGTATTGACGCGCCGCTATCGGCCGTACTCAGACACATGGTCACCGTCCTGGCTGACGGCAATGACAGCGATAACGGCTGTCCCGGCTGGTCCCAGCTGATATTTTTCGTCGTCATCGACCGCTGTCGGCGAGCAAGCATGGTGATGGAAACATTGACGGCTACCTTATGGGGCCGATTTCATAAGGCCACCCATCGTTATGACTGGGTTCGAACTCGGATGGGCCGGTGGCCTGGGGGTAGAGGAGACAGAGGCGCTTTTTCTTGTGATGTATTATTATTTTGCTCATTGGTGGACCTAGGAAAGCAGTTACATGTCTGACACTGCAGAGTGTAAGGGCCATACTGAGTCTATACTCAAAAAGTTTTGCTAAATATAATGCTGGGATTTCGCTTATGAATACGTTTTGTTCAATTTATCATTTGTTTCCATGCCGTGCAAAGGACGCCGGACGGTAAATTCCCATTAGTGTCGAAGCATGAGATGCAGCATTGCCTATTACGCTCATCTGCATCTGATGGTAGATATATGTGATGACAACGCACAGTTACCTATAGCATCGCACGGGTGATAGGCAAAATTTCTATGACAGCTACATGTCTATCTTCCGCGACACGTTGATCTTCACATGTCTGGAACGCACATTCCTGCTCGGTGTTATTCGAAGGTGATAAAATTGCCGAAAATAGCCGAAGATGCGCCATCAGCACTCTATCACGCCGGATTTAACTGATAAATGATTAATCTAAATATATGCCGACATTTTCCTTCATGCTGAATCGCGATCTATGTAGCATCGATGTTCCAGATTTAGGTATGCTTTGATAGCGATGCAACTTCAATCTCCATCTCTAGCTCACCCGCGTGCCCGCTCGTAATGCATGCATGTGCAATGTGTGCTTCATGCACATATGAAAACCGAACGGCGTGTGCTGAGAATATACCGGGAGACGGTCTGATGTCACCGTCTCGACGAAATGCCCATCAGCATTCACGGATCGACCCTCTGCGACCCGGGTGCCGTCGCCGTCCTTCTGTCCTCCCTCACGACCCGGACTCCGCGCCGGGCCATATTTGGACCACTCTGCCGTCTCCGAGGTCGTTATCACTCACAGCAGCCATCTCGGGGACGTCGGGGTCACGGTGGTTCGTGACAAGGATTGGCGAGCGATTCACGGCGAGAGATTATGCAGCCCCGCGCGATGGCATAGCTGTCCAATGAAAATGTCGTGGAGCCCGAAAGAAAGACCAGGACTCGGGGGGACACGGGATATTGTCACTTGTCACGGTCTGAAGAACGGGAGTTGGAGCCGACATGTTTACTGTTGACAAGATGTCAGATCGGGTTAGCTGGCCCGGGCACGCGGCCGGAGGTGTTGATAAACGCCGCAGGTGTATTTATATCTGACTGACCGGAGACAGAGCAGTCAGGTGACCGCGCGGCTGGGCGAGTCGGCTGATCACCTGGGGGTAAACAAGAAGGAGCCCGGTCCGGAAACGCGCCGCCCGTGGCGCTGCGCCACCGTGCCGGCTGCCGCGGACATTCCTTGGCAGGTGGGCTGTGTCCGCCGGCCGCTGCGGCGGCTTGACGCCAGCTGTGGCAGCTCGGCGCCAGCTCGGGCCGACCGACACACCCGTCTCCGCCCGTGGCCGCCGTCTCCCTCCGCCGCGGCGCGCGGCCGTCATCGCGGCCGGTGTTCCACACACGCTCGTCCGACGGCCGGGCCGCCGCTAAATATAGCGACCCACCGCGGCAGCGGCCGGCCCGCGCTCCCGATGACGCCCTGGCGGCGGCACACTGCCTGCCCGACCTGCCCGGCGGCCTGACCGGGCTGCCACACCCCACCGTCTGCAGCACCGTCATCGTCCTGACGCACCACCGTCACGCGGTGCGCGTGACCCAGTGGACCTCTCGGCCGCTCAGCTTCTCTCGCGGTGAATCAGGGATACGTCCGGTGAGGTGCCGACCTCCGACGGTCGACGCAGCCGGCTCCAACTGGGCCGCAACGCGGCTGCCAAGTGCGGCGCCGAGCCTGACCTGTCGGAGTCGACGGGCTGCAGTATGCGCCGGCGACGGTCTGCGGCTGGTGCTGGCTCTCAGGAACCGTCCGAGAGTGCTGGGGACCTCTAGGAGTGCCGTGGGTGTTGGAGACCGTGAAGAACTGGCGACGGAGCGGCGGCCGGAGTCGGACTGAAGCGGTCTGATCTCAGAAACAGTGAGAGTGACGAGTGGAGTGGTGTGTGGCTGAAGAAAAGTGGTAAACTGTGCAGGTTATTTCCTCTGTGAGGAACAGGTCTGAGCGCGCCCAGTGAGCTTAGGACAGCGGTGAACAGCACGGTGAGAAGGTAGTCCTTCCCGTGAGCTCGTCTATTGCCCTCTGTGAGGGTGCCCCTCAGGTCACGTGCCGGTCACGTGTCGGCAGCAGGGGTCACCGGGGATCGGACACAGCCGCGGAGGAGCGCACCGGTGGACGGCCGGCCGAGTTGGCCGCCGTACCGAGGAGCCGCTATTTTGATCACCACTCGGCGCTGACCGGCGCCCGTTCGCGGGCCGCGCGGGACCGCCTCGGTCGCCCTGTCGGCCGCAGTTGCCCCCATGACGGGCCGTCCGCGGCGCGTCTACTCCCGCTCGCGCACCACCGCGCTGGCCGGTCCCATGGAGACGGAGCGGAGCGGCCCGGCGGCCGGCGGCGTGCTGCGCACCGGTCTGTCGCTGCTGCAACAGCTCACCGCCCGCGTGCGCTCGGCCTCGGTGGTCGACGGCGAGGCGCAGGGCTCGCCGCCGCTGGCCCGCTACCGGCCAGAGTTCCGCAGCGACGTGCACTACCACCCGCTGGTGTACAAGTACGCCCAGCTGGACCGGTCCGGCCTGGAGACGGCCAGCAAGGTGGCCCGCTGGGAGGAGAAGTACGGCCGAAAGCCGGCCGCTGGCGCTGAGGCGGGCAACCAGGAGGTCACCGCGCAGCCGACAGCGCCCCGGCAGGACGCCAGCGGGGCGCCGGAGCGCGGCTGGCCCGAGCAGCTGGCCTACGGACCGCTGTACGACGCCTACGAGCGGTCCAGCTCGCGCGCCTCGTGGCGGGAGACCGGTCGCACGGCGGCTGACGGCGCGGAGAAGGAGCGCAGCTCGACGCTGACCGGCTCGACAGCCTCCAGCGCCGAGTCTCCGTCCACGCCGCAGTGGTGTGAGAGTGCCGTCTACGAGCCGTGCGCGCCCGAGCTGGACACCCAGCACCGCGGCCGAGAGCACCGTCCCAGTCCGTCCGAGCCGCCGCAGGCCCGCCGACTCCCGCCCGGAGAGACTCGCGCCGAAAGGAGTCCCTTCAGGAGTCGGTGACGGCGTCCGGCCGGAATCCCGTAAGGAATCGCTGCAGGATTCGTCGGGAGTCCAGCGGGGCCCTGTGACGACACGACATGTGTCAGCTCCCGACACGAGGAGGCGCTCGATGCGGCGCACGGGCCGGCCGGGGGCGAACCCACGCTCGGCGCGCACGCAGACGGGGCGGCGCCGGCCTGCGTGGGGAGTGCCCCGCGCCGCCGCCGCCGCCGCCGCTGGTGTCTGGAGCGGGGCCCGAGCGGCAGTCGGCCGGTCACCGGCCCACACCGACCGACAAAGACGCCGCCGACCGCACGTGCGGCCGCCGAGACGAGCCGACCAGCGGCCGACGGACGGCTCCGGGGGACAGTCGGCGCCGATCACCACCGGAGACGAGACGGTCCCGCCGCTACGCAGGGGCAGCAGCAAACTGGTGCAGCCGCGACACGGAGAGTACCGAGAGGCCTGTATAGCAAGAGGAAGTGATCTCGAGTCCGCGTGGCCGCCGCGTCGAGGACAGGCGCAGTCTGGATCGATTTTCTAAGTCAACGTCTGCCGCCAGTGAGAAAGCTACGTTAAAGAGCGGCTTTTCACGTCCGTTTTCGTCGAAAAAGAAGCTGAGTGTTATAAACGCTGATAAAAAGGCAGAAGACAAGCAGCGAGTGCAAGAAAATCTCACCGAATTGCTAGTGTCAGCATCAGGTGTTGCTGCCCAACCAGTTGACTGTACAGTTGCCGAATTGCAGGCTAGAACTATTGAAAAACGAAACCCGGTGTTGAAGAAAGTCGCCTCCGAGGACTCGACCATGGAACGACAAGCGGAAGCCACTGAACGGATCCCTTCCGGACGAGTACCTCCTGCACCGAGCGCTGGACAAGCTGGACGGCTGCAGATAGATGCGGCAGTCCTGTCAGTCCCAAGACGTCTCGGCGGCGTCACGATGCGCCCGAGCTCGCGCAGTCCACCGATGATGACGATACCAGCAGACTAGTGACAAGGAGGACCGCAAGCGCAAGCTGTTCCGCTTCAGACCCTCGCTCTTTAGCCCGTCCAAAGACGAAGCTGCCAAGCCGACCGTGCCCGAGGGTGTCACCCTCCGCAGCCGACCGGACGGCGCCCTGGTGACCCCCTCTCGGCCCTGAAGCGCTCCTCGTTCCACCTGGAGAGCAACACAACGAGTCTCGCTCGCTGCACAGCTCGTTCCACGGCGGCGGCCGCGCCCTAATGCCCCTGCAGAAGTCAGCCTCGGCGGTAATCCGGCCCTCCACCCGCGACACGGCCGCCTCTAGGCTCCGGCTCAACGACTACGATCCAGCGTTCGGTATCTACTCGCGCGTGGACGGCGTGCGCAGCCCGTGGCCGGGCAACACGCCGAGCCGGGTCCCGCGGGCGGCGCCGTCACCGGCGGAGGCGGCGTGAGCTCCAGGCTCGACGACGTCTACTTCGGATCGGCGTCGGCGCGACGGTACCGACCGGATCCGAGAGGAGGCCAAGACGCGCGGCGGCCGCCCGAACGCCGTGGTCAAGACGACGTCCTCGAAGGTGGAGGCTGCGCTGCCGTCCGTCTGCTGCGCGCCCGTGCTCAGCGCCAACAGGGCCAAGCTGCTCAAGGCAAACAGCCCGTTCGCACGCGTAAGTACCTTATACGAATGGACAGAGTGGAGCTCTTTCGATCGCTATTGGCTGGTCGTCCAATCCTTTTGATGGTGTCAGGTTGTATCTACTTCGAAGAAAATCGCTGAAGGAGATCCTTATTGCCGTTTTATGTCTGATGTGCTATTCACTTGAACGTCATTCGTTATTGGGAGAACAGGGGACTAATAACGTTCAAAGTCCCATCGTCAAAGTGATTTAGTGTTGGGTGAGTAAGGTCGTGCAGGGCTAATTGGATGTGCCAGACTCGTTTGGGACAGTCGTCAGCTTCATTCCGTGTGAGTCAGTCGCCATTGCCCATTCCGTCCCGTCCTCGCAATGAATTACGAGTGCCCCTAAAGGTGCCAAATAAATAGGTATGAAAAACGTGTGTGATAGAAACGGTATACAATTTATAAAACGAGTAAAGCGACCTTGACGTGAGAATTACGTCTTCAGAGCTCAGAGAATCCCTCCGGAGTGCTTACAATTGCCAGAATGTTTCATCTTGGTTTCACCAGCATCAAAGGCTTCCCTTAGCTTTTGTGCTTAGCGCTGCACTTGGCGCTGAGATCAAACGAGTTTTTGGAGTACCTTCAACGGGAATGCTAGCAGGCGTCAAATACATCTTGCGTTGCGTTGAGCTGCGCTCATTCAAAGGTAGACAACGTTCTCGGGCGCCGGTCCACCCCAGGGTCATCCGTCCTCATTGCACCTTGCAGTAAATAGGTACTGGTATCTCGTCCGGGCGGAGCAGTGTCGCCTTCCTCGGGCTCGGCCCGGCCGGCCTTGTGACGTGTGCCGGCCGTGTCTCGGGGGCGTTTTTGGACGTGTGATTGGGAGGTAGCGCGGTATGTCGTTTGGACCGGCCGCCCGCCTGCGGCTGCCAAATCGGCCGTCACTCGGCGGGCTGTCTCCGAGACGGAGCTGACTAGGAAGTCTCCCCGCGACACACCCCCTCTGTCCCCTGACGGCTGACAGACAGGCCCTCTCCGTCACAGCTCTCTGCCTGATGTCTCTCCTGTCTCTGTTCCTGACTGAGTCTCAGTCTCTGTCTCTAGGTCTCTGTTCCCGTCTGTCTCTATCTTTCGGTCTCTATCTTTATGTCTCTGTCTCTGTGTCTGTCTCTATGTGTCTGTCTCTGTCTTTATCGTTATGGCTTTGTCGCTATGTATCTGTCCATGTCTTTGTCTCTGTCTCTATGTTTGTTTCTATGCAGTTTCTATGTCTCGTCTCTACGTCTCTCTGACTCCGTCTCTGTCACCCCTCTTCCTTCTCAATTTCTTTCTTTTTCATCCTCTCTCTCTCTCTCTCTCTCTCTCTCTCTCTCTCTCTCTCTCTCTCTCTCTCTCTCTCTCTCTCTCTCGCCTCTCGTCTCTCGTCTATCGTCTCTCGTCTCTCGTCTCTCGTCCCTCCTCAGTCGTCGAGCGGCCCTTGTCCGACCGCGACTTCTGATGCACCCACACGGCATTGTTTATCTATTGAGATGGATGGATGGGCAATGCGCATCCATGTTTGCCATGTTGTTGGATAATGTTGGTAGGTACAATTGATGTTTCTTGGAAATCCTCCCCTATGGACTATACCAGCTTATAGCGTTTTGTTCCTATCGGCTATCTCCTCTTCCCTTTACGAGACATGGCGATCATATTCCAGCCAGTTATCCGACGATCCCTCTACCTCCTATCATCATCCATGCTTACCACTAGCAGTGCAGTCATCCCTCTCCGCCCCCATCCATCGCGCCATTGAGCCGTCTCCCTGCTGCGACTGCGACTGTGGCATTGACATACACCCCGGCGACCCTGGACTGACCTGACCTGTAGTCCCTCGCTGTCGTCAGGTGTCGCAGGACCACGTAGAAGATGATGAGGACGGGCACCTCATCTACCGCAATGGGGACGTCATCCAGAGCAGATGTGAGTCTCATTGTATCCAGTCTTGTAAAATGCCTTTATTCCCGGACCTTCCTGTTGAGTCGAAATTACAGTGTCCAAGTGCGGGAACAATAGGTAAACGCAGTAAACGTGTAGGTATATTCATAACGTTGGACACAAAAAGAAGAAATATACAGATACCCAGTGGCGCGGGAACTTCTTCCAGACTGGGGGGGCTGAACCATAATAGAAATCAACCTAGGGTACCCCCAAATCTAGTTTTCTCACCGGTTTTAGGCCACTTATTTTTCAGACCTTGGCCTTTTCAACAACAAAAAAAAAACGAAAATATTTTCAAAAAGTGAGGTATTCCGTCTCAGCTGAGTGAAGAAACTACCGTTTTGGCAACCTGGAGTAAAGGTTTTAATCTGCCAAATGAGTTGCCGAGCCAGTGAAATAGGTGGATTTTTTACTTACATGCTTTCTTCCTTTGTGACCCACAACCCCTAATTTGGGGAGGACAAGCTGCCCGACGGTTCCTGGCCTCATGAAACGTTGTGGGGCACCGCCCCCACGGCCGCAGAGTTGTGGGGGCAAGCTTCCCCCACTGCCCCCTCCCCCGGTTCCCACGCCTATGTATGAATCTATGAAATTATGTTGGTAGATTTCCGATTTCGATTCCTCCAGCTGGGGGGGCTCAAATACATTACGAGCCCCCCCAGCCGAAAAGCTGGGGGGGCTCAGCCCCCCCTAGCCCCCCCGGTTCCCGCGCCACTGCAGATACCTACGATATACGAATACACACACCTACACAGTCATTGCTTTTTAAATTAATGTTTGAGGTTGAAGTGCAACTAAAACAAAGTAGGGTACATCTCCTCGGCAAAAGATACAAAGATGCTTACCAAGCTATATGTCAGTCAGGACTCAAGAGTCGTTGCTCCGTGCACTGACGCGATTTCGTGCAGGCGTGCAGGACGCGATTTCGTCTTGTCTGCCACATGTGGCTACGTCCTCTACGTCTCTGTTGTTTTGTGTCCGGGAAGCGGCTCATTCCGAATGCGACCGAGCTCTTACCGCCGCGGCCGCACTGGGACACGCACGGAAATGTTATTTCCGCCAGCGTTGCCGGTGTTCCGGAATTGGATTATTTTGCCGCGGCGTGCTATCTCTCGTGTAAGTCCCTCGTGAAGTGGTATGAACTGGTCTGGAGGAACTAGAGGCTTTTGACGGATTTAGATAAACCTTGAAGTGCAAAATCAATCTTTGTATTTTTCGTTGTGAAATGTTGAGTGGATAATACCTAAGTGTAAATAGGTCATTGTTCTACTTCTGACGTGCCATAATTTGGTCGGTCAAACCATTTTTATTTATTAATTGATTTCTTTTGGCCAATATTCTCTGTTCAAATCACCTCAGGGAGGATAAGGAACTGAAGGATATATTAATATGGGAGACATTGGGCTAAGTAGATTACCGACAGCTGCCAGGGCCTCGTCTAAGGAATTTTCACTGGGGGGGCAGAGACTGAAGGAGCCAAACCTAGGGTACCCCCAAATCCTGTTTTCTCACCGGATTTAGGCCACTTGTTTTTCGTCACAGCCCTGAGACCATGATTTTTTAACAATTTTCTTTTTTAATTTGATTTTTTAACCTGCGCCGGGTCGGGGATTTTCGAACACCCCCCTGCGGTTTTTGGCACATCATGCATCTTTTCCGCACATGTTATGAAAATTTCAGACCCAGGTCACTCAAGGTCAGGTCACCAGGTCACGTCAAGTGACCTCACCTCAGAAAAAGTTAGAATCCTCGTCATAGCTGCACCGACCGAACGATCACCTTAAAACGTTCAGCAATTGATAAGAGTAACAGTATATACAAAATGTGTATCTCGGAATTTTGATATCGGTGACATAAGGTCAGGTCAATTTTGCGACCTCTCCATTATAAGTCAACAGGAGAAAATTGAAAGGCGCCTTTTTGGACGAACGTCATTCCAAACACTCTCACGCATTGTGTTACAGGTAAACTCGACAAGCTGAACCGAAACATGGCACCCGTGACCTCTCCTTAGGACCCTGAGGTCATATCAGGTCATAAAAGGTCCCAGGAATTTTTTAAGGTCAAATTTTCAAAATGACCTTTCAACGTCAAATTATAGTTCATTCGACACGTCTCGACAGGAGGAACACGATGCTGGCAAAATAAATGCTACTTCCCTGAGTCATAAATTGTTGCAGAAAAACATTTTTCATGACAACGGCTATTTTGGGAGTTTTTGCCCTCTGGAGACTAAACCGTTGACCTGAAGTCAAATCTGAGGGCGCAGTGGCGAAAGAGCGTTAAAAGAGCTATCGAATGGGCTTTTCCGCGGCGCTGTAGCTCTATCGGTTCCAGAGTTAGCCGTTGGCAGTTCCCAAAATTGTTGAAATAGACAAAATTTGACCTTTGATGACCTCTGGCGACATGACCTTTGACCTGGCCTAAAAAATGACTGAAGTGCTTCCGTCATTATTTTTTACGCTCTTTCGAATGCCGCTTACTGCATGTCGCTACATGGCCCAGGAGCGGAGTTGGACGGGGGGAGGGGGGTTCAGACTAGGGATGCCAATTTCATGAAATTTCAATTCCAATTCCGATCCAATTCCAAGAATCTGCCAAGTAAATTTCCATTTTTGGTCCAAAGCGGGGGCTATTCCGATTCTTTCCCGATTTTTTTCTTGCTTTTTTGCGTACATTGTAAAAGCGCATTGGCCTTGTGTTCCGATGAATTTCCGAAAAATCTTAAGAATTCCGTCCAAATTCCAAATTGGAATTGGACAAAAAATTGGAATTCCAAGAAAAGAAATTATGATTGGCATCACTAGTTCAGACACCCCCGGCCCAGCGCGATAGTGACGGAGCACCGGCCCGGCGCGGGTTAACCCTCGCACGACCAGGCCATTTCTCATAACACGAACGACCAGGGGGGGGGGGGGGTTGTTACGACCCCCCCCCCCTGGCGTTTCGAAACGGAAGGTCGTAGAGCTTAGCGGAAAAAACCAACGGATTGCTCTCAACGAGATCTCGCGATTGGTGGTATATTTTTTGGTCCTAGGTCAACATTTGACCTACTTTTGACCGGTCAAAGGTCAAATTTTCGGAAAAATAGACTTTTTTCAACTTTCGGCGGCGATTGCGGCAAAACGGTGGGAGATATCGACTTGAAACCTTCACTATCGTGTTCCTTGATCATTTCTCTATCGTTTGGTATGTATTTCGTTTCCCTAGCTCTAAAAATGGCGCGTTGGGAGCGCCGGAAGTCGGCAAGGTCACAGTCGGCGGCAGAAATTCGAAAAATCAAAATTTAAATTTTTGAAATCTGATTGTATTTTTGGATTTGGGAGGTCCATTTCCTCCCTATAGAAGCTAATATTGCTGCATATTCCCATTGAGGTGACAAGAATTAGCAAAATAGTGGTTCGGGCGCTTTTCAAAAATAGTACCGGACGCTGTTCCTCTTGTGACGTCATAGCTCCGTGACCTGACCTGACCCGGTCAAATTTCTTATACCATATGATAGCCAATACTTGCCCCAACATGCATGGTAAGTTTCATCACGATCCATCAACCGATGTCCGTACCACCGGCAGGAAACCTCGGGCGTTGGCACTCAGTTTGTGAAAATCCGGCCGGAGGCTGTACCTCTTATGACGTCATAACTCCGTGACCTGACATGACCCGATCAATTTTTTTCGGCAAAAGATGCGCAAAGGTTGCCCCAGAGAGTATTGAAAATTTCAGCCCGCTACGACAAGCCGTTTAGCGTGCACTTTGAAAAAACCTCAGGGGGAGGGGGTTGATACAACCCCCCCCCCCCTAGGCGTTCTAGGGTTAACATTGTGTTGCCCCCTCACATTGTCCCACCAGACAGTGATAAACATACTTATCCGTGTTGAGCGTTTGACTGAGTGTGTGTGTGTGGGGGGGGGGGGGCAAACACGAGTTGGGTCACTGGCCAGCTGCTAATTGACAATTTGCTACTTGGCGCTCTCAGCTCTGAAAATCACGAAACTCTGGCTTTTCCCGTAGCCATGAACAGTTATTGAACAAATTATTTAATGTTTCTCGTTAAATCCATGTAAGACTCCTGGCAAAAACGTATTGCAGAGAAGGAAATTTTGTGAGAAGTTCACGTGTTGACTGGGGGGGGCAAATGTTGGCCACTGGGGGGGCAATCCGCTCGACTGGGGAGGCAATTGCCCCCCCAGTTATCATGTTAGACGAGGCCCTGACAGCTGCACTGAAGAAGCTACCTATAAGGTCATGCTGCATGGGGGAGGAGACTGTTCCTAAGGCATTTGGCCAGCCATACAACCACTCGATCCAAGGGACTTCAACTTGGCCCCCGAAGGAGTAGCGTAGCACCTGCAGGCACCTACCTACCTACGGTGCTTTCCGATGTGCTATCCACCGGTTGTCTGGCGGGATAACCGCCTGCGTCAGCCCGAACGGGGTAGTGACTAGTGTGATCAGTGATAAGGATGAACTGACTGAGGATAACGAGGACAGGACAGGTGGGAGGCATGCTGTTGGCTGGGTGCATGTAAATTATTGATAGATCATCAGGCCACCTCTACTTGCGACGAGGGCACTAAAGAGTCCTTGCAACATCCCTATGGCCAGGTTTGTAGGGTCCTCTACCGGCAGGGATTGAAATCTATAGTATGCCGCCCTGACTCACTCCTCTCTCGTTTCAGATCGGATTCTGTCCACGCTCGGTGAGGGCACGTTCGGCAAGGTCGTCAAAGTCAAGGATCTCGAAAAGTAAGTCTATCGGCATGCTCACTCTCTTCCAGTGTCTCTCACTGCTCGTTTTTATTGCTGAAGCCTCGGTACCATGTAGACCGTCCGAGGCTTACTGTGCCCTAGGTGGCGCTGGGGCTGCCTTCTGTTGTGATCACTGATCACCCAGCCCTAGCCATATGGTGGGTTATCGTTTATGCGGACCCGTCACGCGGGATGGCGTTTGTTGGGTGCTGGCAACTGGCAAGGCCATAGTGCTGGCACTCAACATCCGACTTCCAGTCACCTTTGTTGTCTCTGTCTCTGTTGGGGTTCTTTGTCGCGCTTGCACCTGTGTGCGTGGTAGTCCTGCTGTTGCGTCACGGTTGTCAACGAGGATGGCTAAAACTCTTTTTGTGACCTGTGTGCAGCTGTGTGGCTTTAGATGAAATGGCGAGTGAACCCGTGTGGGGTCTGTTTGTTTGCCGTTCCAGTCGTGCTTACCAGATTGACGCATAAACTCATTAGCAGTTTTTCCCGTATAGTTGAGTCGTGCATTGTCCCTCCCCAATCCTACGTGAATGGGACTGCATCACATCAGATTCGTTCTTACATATATTGTGGCAGGGCAGGAGTCTTGATAGAGAGATATATCTGAGTATAACCTGTTGTGCAGTCATCCAGTGCAGTGATTGACCATTGACCACATTTGTGCTTTCAGAGACAGGGTGATAGCGTTGAAGGTGATTAAGAACGTGGACAAATACCGCGAGGCAGCCAAGCTGGAGATCAACGTACTGGAGAAACTCAACGACAAGGACCCATACGGCAGGCAGTGAGTTGTAGACTGACACCGGAATGTGGATATTGTGGCGCCTTAACCCTCGCACGACCAGGCCATTTCTCATAACACGAACGACCAGGGGGGGGGGGGGGTTGTTACGACCCCCCCTGGCGTTTCGAAACGGAAGGTCGTAGAGCTTCGCGGAAAAAACCAACGGATTGCTCTCAACGAGATCTCGCGATTGGTGGTATATTTTTTGGTCCTAGGTCAACATTTGACCTACTTTTGACCGGTCAAAGGTCAAATTTTCGGAAAAATATACTTTTTTCAACTTTCGGCGGCGATTGCGGCAAAACGGTGGGAGATATCGACTTGAAACCTTCACTATCGTGTTCCTTGATCAATTCTCTATCGTTTGGTATGTATTTCGTTTCCCTAGCTCTAAAAATGGCGCGTTGGGAGCGCCGGAAGTCGGCAAGGTCACAGTCGGCGGCAGAAATTCGAAAAATCAAAATTTAAATTTTTGAAATCTGATTGAATTTTTGGATTTGGGAGGTCCATTTGCTCCCTATAGAAGCTAATATTGCTGCATATTCCCATTGAGGTGACAAGAATTAGCAAAATAGTGGTTCGGGCGCTTTTCAAAAATAGTACCGGACGCTGTTCCTCTTGTGACGTCATAGCTCCGTGACCTGACCTGACCCGGTCAAATTTCTTATACCATATGATAGCCAATACTTGCCCCAACATGCATGGGAAGTTTCATCTTGATCCATCAACCGATGTCCGTACCACCGGCAGGAAACCTCGGGCGTTGGCACTCAGTTTGTGAAAATCCGGCCGGAGGCTGTACCTCTTATGACGTCATAACTCCGTGACCTGACATGACCCGATCAATTTTTTTTCGGCAAAAGATGCGCAAAGGTTGCCCCAGAGGGTATTGAAAATTTCAGCCCGCTACGACAAGCCGTTTAGCGTGCACTTCGAAAAAACCTCAGGGGGGGTTGATACAACCCCCCCCCCCTAGGCGTTCTAGGGTTAAACATGCCTGAGGAAACAGTAATGCGTGACTTTTATCAAGCATACCGCAATATAGTGCTCGAAATGCCATTGTTTCATTCTGCAGTATGACATTGTGTATGCCATTTTGGATAGGTCATATAGGGTTTGCTATATTTATTATAAATGTCACACCCAGCCAGACCTGGCACACCATTCAGCGGCGCCATGGTCACGGTATGTCGTAGTTCACTAGTATGATGTCACGCTATTTATTGCACAGACTGGACGCCTCGATGACCGGTTCAAATCATCATCATTATTTATTTGTGCTGTCACTGAATAAGCAGCCTCTCTGTTTAACATGTGCCTTCCGTCACCCGCAGCCGGTGTGTGCTGATGTTGGAGTGGTTTGACTACGGCGGACACATCTGCATCGCTTTCGAGATACTCGGACTCAGCGTGTTCGATTTCATGGTAAGAGGGAGGGAACCGGGGTGAGTGAGTGAGTGAGTGAGTGAGTGAGTGAGTGAGTGAGTGAGTGAGTGAGTGAGTGAGTGAGTGAGTGAGTGAGTGAGTTAGGGATTGCGTGAGTCAGCCAGTCAATCAGTCAGTCAGTCAGTCAGTCAGTCAGTCAGTCAGTCAGTCAGTCAGTCAGTCAGTCAGTCAGTCAGTCAGTCAGTCAGTCAGCCAGTCAGCCAGTCAGTCAGTCAGTCAGTCAGTCAGTCAGTCAGTCAGTCAGTCAGTCAGTCAGTCAGTCAGTCAGTCAGTCAGTCAGTCAGTCAGTCAGCCGCCTGCCGTCGGCGTTCGCCGCTGGGTCCGTTTGACTGCGTTTGCACGGTTGATCTCAGTTGTGATGTGTTGAATTACGCCACTCTGCAACGTTACGCCTGGTGAGGTGACGCCTGACCGTTTGCAAACATTGCAAGGTTTTTGACGCCGCTATCTCGTTGAAGTAGCCGTTGCGAGATGGATAAGCCTTGTCTGCTTGCAAAGGAGGTTCTGAGAAAGGTTTCTTTTTGTTTTATTCTATCGAACCTGCAGCTCGGTTCAGCTCGCTTGTGTGCCTGGTGGAGCCGTCCTACTGTTGTGCGAACCGTTCATAATAAACTGCGATAAACTGCAGTAAATTACGTGTTGGCCGCTGAAGTTCATCCCAAGTGACACGAGTTGGTGTCGGTGAGATTCGAACCTGCGTCGTTCGCCCGTCAGGCTGACACCCGCCCCCCTTGCCAGAGGGTGAACTTACTCCCACGCTCCCTCCGACAGGAGAACTGACACCCGTCCTCCCCCCTACAGAAGGAGAACAGCTACCAGCCGTACCCGCTGACCCAGGTGCGCCACATCGGCCTGCAGCTGTGCCGATCCGTGGCGTTCATGCACGACACGCGGCTGACGCACACCGACCTCAAACCGGAGAACATTCTGTTCGTCAACTCCGACTACGACGTCACCTACAGCCCGAGAAAGGTGGGTCCTGCCGCCGGGGAAGGATTTGGACGGGTACAAACTGTGCACTACTGTCCGTCTGTTCGTGCGTAACAGTGTAATAGCATTGATATTTGCAAGATGCCCTGTCGGTTTCCGGTCTCTGTTCGTTGCGACCCCGACTAGGCATCGCCATAGAGAGCGTCGCTGCAGGTCCCAAATCCCACCCATTAGTCGGTGGAGCTGGTCTGTCAGGTTCGCTCTCCGCTGCCGTCTAGTAACATGAAATTGCCGCCTCGCTGGCGCCGGCAACGGGCAGTAGTGAAATCGCTCCGAGTAAAAGACAACGCCCACTAAACCGTGCCGAGGTCGATCGAGCCAAATTCGTCCCAACGCATAGGCGGCGGAACGGGGCTGGGGGGAGGGGGCACCGTGCCCCCTTTATTTTGGAATTTTAACATTAGCCCTATGGGCGTTGCATGGAAAGAATGGAACCAAAAGTCGGCAGTGCCCCCCCCCCCTTGATTCAAGGTGTTCCGCCGCTACTGTCCCACCGAGAGCATTAATAGTTGAATAGCCGAGTTGGCGTAGTGCAATATGTGAGTCATGGCTTACGAGAGAGGAATGCGGGCGAACATGCCAGAAATATTTCCCGTTCATTTTCTCCTCAATGGCTTTACGTGCCTTGGGTGCTTGCAGGCGCTCTAGCGTTTTGCAGAGATAGATACTTTTAGTCATGGTGCTGCAGTGTGACAGATGTGATCAATGTGTCCAGGAAGGCAATACCTATAACCTAACTTATGTATATCTAACGTCGTGAGAACTATGTTCATAGCTATGTTCTATCTCAATTGGGCTCAGTTTCCCGTCAGACCAAGCTCTTCTGCTCTTGACCAAGTTTTGTCGTTTTCCTGTATTGATTGAAACGGTGCTTCAATAGCACATAATTCATTTCCCCTCACCCTCGCATCCAGTGCACCTTTGAGTGTGGCTGAGGTGTGGCTGACGGCGCACTCATTGTCAAACCTGAGCATCGCCTTCGGAGAATGCGCGACCCGAGACGGACAGCCGGGGTCCGGGGTCGGGTCGGCTGCAGCCAGACCGATGCATCACCGAATCATAATAAACAGCTCCGGGGGATGCCGAGAGTGGGCGCAGCTGCCGGGGGGGGGGGGGGCAGCTTCCCAGCTCTCCCGGCTCGGCGCGGTAGCTCCGGTCTGGGATTGGACAGTGTACGGTCTGTCCAGCAGGTTGTCCAATCCCCTGTGAACATAGCAAGCTGTCTGATCCCCAGTGGACAGGGTTGGTGTGCCGACACTGTGGAATGTTGGGCTGATCTTGGCCAGCGGGCAGGGCTTGATCGGACGTTTTACCCGATCGACATGCCATTTTTGCCCGGGGGAGGACAGCAATGGCCGATCTGCGGTACACTGCCTAGAGGTGCTGCCGCTGGTTGATGACGACCGAAGGGCACGGATAGATAATCGCACCTCCCATCTGATGTAGCCCGGGGACGAAGAAGCGCCGCCTCCAGGAGTGCCGCCCCAGTGAGAGGGTCGCTGATGCGCGCACCCGGGAGCGGGCGGCCCCGGGCTGACGGCTGACACCTCACGTGCCACCGTGGATGGGTGGAGTACGAGAACCGGTTACGAACTGAGCTATAACGAGGGGTGGAGCTGCCACGGCCGCTGGCGGACTGGGTGTCGGACGAAACTGGGGAGATTAGCAGCAATGAATTATTAGTTGCGTGCGAGAATGCACATAACGTTGATTGTGCAGTTCGGTTAGTCCTTGTTGTCTTATGATGAACATGAAGCCATGTAGGCGATGGGATACTGTTGGACATTTTTTCGTTCACGCAGCTTATCGATTTCACCTCTCGTTGAGCCATTTCTACCTATTTAGGTGCGTTCCTCAGTTCCACGTGTATCATACAAAAGCTAGCAGTATGCTAGAAAAGTGTGTGTCATTTGTCTGACATTCACGTCCCACTGCCGGAGCCGAGCTGCGACCCCTGCGTCGGTAATCTTCACTGCCCTCGCTTTACTTGGCACTGCTCATCACTTCTGGCCACATGCTGCGAGCAAATGTGGCCAGCCGTGTCCCAGTTCCGCCACTAAAACTGTCCGTCTCACTAATCTTCGCCAGTGGCTACCCCCCTCTCCTGCCCCGTCCCACCGCCTCAGGCAGATCCAGGTCAGCCTGTACAGTACGTGTGCAATACGGGCTCGGAAATGAGCCCGCTACACGAGAAACATTGCTTGTGCTAATCGTGAAGCTTCTGATTCGATGATTGCGAGCAAGATAGCGGAGAGATGGACCTCATGCGGCTGCTTTGAACACACAGCGGCAGATAGATCTGTTTGGTGCGGTGCGTTTTGGTGTCGGCAACTTGCAAGGTCCGCGAAATCGGCCGCGTTGTAGCGGAAAACCAAAGTACGGTTCCAGTTCCGTGCACAGTTTGCAGCCGGGCTGTATACCGCTCTCTGAGCTGTGATGAGTTTGTCCTGACATCGGTCCTCCGACAGCCCCAGATCCTAACCGACATCAGATAGAAAATGTTAAACATTTGTCTCGATATATGCTACCCATTTGACGTGACCCACATTTCTTATTCTTGCTGTCCTATCTGTTCTCAGAAACGGGACGTACGCGTGGTGCGGAGCTCGGACATTCGTCTGATCGACTTCGGGAGTGCCACCTTCGACCATGAGCACCACAGCACGGTGGTGTCGACACGGCACTACCGGGCGCCCGAGGTGCTGCTTGGTGAGTACGGATAGTGACTCAGCACTACTGGACACTATAGCAGGTGAAACCGACACCACCGGACAAGGCACTACTGCAGACGTACTCGGCACTATCTGTAAGAATCTTGCTCGGCACTACCGGGAGAACCAATAGGAGCCAATGTGCAGGTTATTTGTTAACATCGGCTGTTTTACGGACGACTCGCTTTCATTTGGCTTCGACTTACGGGCCTGACACATGCTGTGCAGTGGCATTTGCAGTTGTGCTTACCCTTCCCCATTGTCTTGCCACGCGGGGTGATTTCTGCCCTCGCTAATGCTGACAATGCCCCTAGGACGGTGAGCTGTTAGCTGCACGGTGCAGCTCCGCGCTGTGTGTGTGTAGCTGACTGTCAGCCGCGTCAGCTTGGGCCTGCGGGGGATGCACGTCAGACCAGGGTATATTGAATTAGGTGTCAGACTACCTGAGAGACTACCAGACTACCTGTCAGACTACCAGAGGAGACTACCTGAGAGGCTGCCAGGCTTCCTGTCAGGCTACCTGAGTCACACCTAAAAGATGTCCGCACCTGGCTGACCATTCACGTTCCTGTTCGGCAGCTGGCCTGTCCAAATTCATCCCGCACGGTGAAAGCAGTCGCTGCATCCTTCACCTCATACCAAGTCAGAATTGTGACCAGTGTGTGCCTTAGTCCCGCGATTTTAGAAGGCAATACTCATCATTTGATCACCAATACCGGACATACCGCCGCCAAACATGGATCGAATGATATCGTAAAATGGTCATCACGGCGGAGATCAGCAGGCAACATTCCAGAGAGGGAGAGCGGGCTCCGACTGTGGCCGGTGGCGCGAACAGGCGGAATACAAAACACTTTCTCCTCTATAGTATTTTAGGGTTTAAAGCAGATGGATAGTCGGCTCGGGTCAGTGTTGAAGGGTCCTTATCATTTGGGTACATCGCTTATCATTCGTCGTCGTGAGTGATGGTATACCTAGGTAATCACGAGCTTATTTACGATACACTTGTATGCCATTCTCTGCATTATTTCGTAATTCGTCTTGCTGATGTGACGATAGCGGAACGGTTAATAACCGCGTGAACTTCTGAGCTTTTTGCATAATTTTATTTTGCTTTGCTCTTTGGATATTCAGCATTTGTTTTGCCCTTACAGCACTACTTGTGTAAGGAAAAACGATGGGATATAATGAAATAATGCGCTGCCAACTGTACCTCTTAGTTCGATATAAATCACCCGTCAGCCGAAAATATATCGCCACTGTTCAGACTGGTGCGAGTTCAACAGCCTCATCGCCAGAAGCCGTGACGCACGGAAGTTTATTGGACCGACTGACACTGGGAGCCGAATCATCGGCAATGATCGCTCACCCGTCGAATGTCACGCCCAAGGGCAGTTCCATGAGTGGCGCTATCACCGACGGACGAGGGCGAGGGCGGCTGTTATGGTACCGGTCAGCCACCAGGGTCGACATCGGCGCTGATCTTATCCGGCCCTTCCGGTCGGCGCAGTCTGCCGGTGGCTAAACCAAACATTTTTGGACGGCGCGTCGGGCCCTCAGCTGCGCGCCGCGCCGGCCTGTCATCGCTGCCAGATAAATAAATACCCCTACTGCCGGGCCGGTGGCCCCTGCCCTCCATCGGGCAATGCCCGCCCTCCCCCCCAGATCAATACAGCCCGTCGACGACCTTGGCTACCTCCCCTCCCTCGCCCACTTTAACCGGCGCGGATGAGTCACCACCAATTCGGGGGTCACGTGACTGGTCCGCCCGACGGTAACAAGCCGCCGTGACGCGATACCACCCGTGCGCCGCCACGGGCCGTGACGTCACTGGTCGGCGCGCGTGGCCGCTCCGTCGGGGAGGGCGGGGCCACGTGCAGGCAGCGACGCCGGCCGACGCGGCGGCGCGGCCGGCGGGCCGGCGGCCAGACGGCGGTGCGCGGGCGGAGGCGGCGGCAGCGGGCCCCGCGCGCCGCGTGTTGTCAAACAGTGGAGGAAAGATAGCGTGTGGAAAGTGGTCGGTAGCTCGATACTTGCTCTCGAGAGGACGCTGAGCAGCGGGTAACTTTGTGTGGGACTGTGACGGGAGTGGTTGAGGCCCTGACCTGACCTCAGCGTGTGACAGTACCGGTCTCCCGGCCCAGCGTGTGACCCTGCCATGGAGGACAGCACGGGCAGCGCGGTACAGCGGCTGCGGCAGCGGTTCGAGGTGCTGGACGGCCTGGCGCGGGCAGCACCGACCGGTCCCGTCCGTCGGGTGGCTGCCGGCGCTGACTCAGCTGGCCCCGCGGGGAGGGACGCCCTCGGGGCGCCGACCGCGTCCGTCCAGCTCCGGCGGCCAGCTGGGGCCGGCTCCCCGGCGGCGTCCAGCGCCGGCGCCGGCACAGGAGCTAAATTCGCTCCGGCGCCGCGCCCCGCCAGGGAGGGGGAGCGCGGCGGCCCCGTAATGAAGTCGCCGGCGGTGGGGAAGAGCACGCCAGCTGTTGCCAGCAAGAGCGGTGCTGTTACGGATGCCGGACGAACCGGGAAGGCAGACTCGCCGACGGTGGTGGCTAATGGGTCGACCAATGGGAGCAGCTCTCCGCGGGTCGCTCGGACCACCGTCTCTCCGCGGTGCAACGGGACCGCTCACACGTCAGAGTCTGCCGCAAAAACCGCAGACACCCTCCCCGCCCCCGCGCCGGCCCCGGGCTCTGACAGGGCGCCGTCACCGGTGGTGGCACCGCCGTGCCCCGCTCCTCCGCGGCCGCCCAAGCCGGGCTCGGACACCAGCTCGGCGTCCGGGGACGGCGACACGGAGCCGGGCGACTACCTGGTGCCGGACGGTGTGCCGCCGGTGCCGCCCCGTGAGCCGCTCAGTCCCGAGTGGGGACCGGCGCGCAGCCCTCTGGTGCGCCGCTCGCTGCCGCCGCCGCCGTCCGGGGCCAGTCTCCAGGAGCAGGCCTGGTTCCACCCCGTCGACCGGGCCGGCGCGCGCGCCCTGATCCTGCGCCGCGGCAACGGCGCGTTTGTGGTGCGGCCGTCGCAGCGCGGCGGGGCCTCGGCGCCGTTCGCGCTCACGCTGCTACACTCCGGTCAGGTGTATAATTTCAACATCCGGCAGCGCAGCGACGGACGCTTTGCGCTCGGCTACCACAAGAAGGACGAGGCGAGCTTCCGCTCGGTGGAGGAACTGGTGCGGCACCACCAGCGGGAGCCCATCTCGCTGCCGACCAAGGCGAGAACCTGTCTGACGTGGTATCCGAGCGGTGGTGGCTCCGGCGGCTCCGGATCTGGCGGTGGTGGCTCCGGCTCCGGCTCCCCCTGAGACAGCCGGAGCTCGAACCGGGCGGGAGCTGACGGATCTGAGCTGAACTGACGGACCTGACCTGAGCTGAGCTGACCCGAACGACCTTCATCGACCTAACGCCTCCCAGATTAGTGACAGAGGCTTTGTCTCGAACTGGATCGATCAGCGACGAGAGGGAATATCAACGGCCGACAACGAACAAACCGAACAGCGGAATCGTTACGGGTTATGGAAGTTCGCACTTCAGTGTAACAGACAGTGTGATCACTGCTCTGAACTGGACTGTCTTCAATCGAGTTCGCGCCGCGGGCAAGGCCCTACATACCTCCGCGGGTGCTCCAAGCATTGTGTGCCTCTACCGGGTCTCTACGCTTCTCTACCGGATTTTTGGCCGTCTGCAGACTCTCGTCTGGCCGCCGACCGTCCTCTGACTCGGGACCGACTCGGGACACTGACCGTCCTCAAAGCACTATCCCACGATGCATTTACAGCGGTCATTTCCTGTTTGCGACCAGTGGACCGGCGCCGGCTGCGGCTCAGTGAGTAGAACACCTCTCCTAGCTGCTACTGAGTTTTATCGAGACCGATCCGCCACGCAGCCCCGCCGGCACTGCTCGGAGGAGGTCGTAAAGGGACAGGAAGGCCGCCCCTTTGTGGGTTCTGCAGCGTCGCTTCTGAGATAAAGAAACGGGAGGCTCGCGGCTGCAGGCGCTCAAATGGAATGATGAAGGATGTAAAGGGAGATCGGGGGGCAGGAGAGGTACGGATCGAGCGAGAGAAAGAGGAGGGATAGCAGAGAGAGAGAGAGAGAGAGAGAGAGAGAGAGAGAGAGAGAGAGAGAGAGAGAGAGAGAGAGAGAGAGGAGAGAGAGAGAGAGAGAGAGAGAGGAGAGAGAGAGAGAGAGAGAGAGAGAGAGAGAGAGAGAGAGAGAGAGAGAGAGAGAGAGAGAGAGAGAGAGAGAGAGAGAGAGAGAGAGAGAGAGAGAGAGAGAGAGAGACGCGGCAGATGCTGAATGAGAATTAGCCACGGTGCGATATGAATTGTGATAGGGTAGAAACTTGGAGAAGTTGTGCGACCCAACATGAGCCCCCGTATGTGACATGGGTTTCAGTAGCCCGTTCATCCGTGCCGGTGTCTGACCGCCCTAACCCGGTGACATGGCATGACCTGGGTGTTTGACCGCTTCTGACCGGTGACCTGACATGACCCGGGTGTCTGAACTCCCCTGACCGGTGACCTGAAGTGACCTGGATGTCCTACCGCCCCTGCCCGGTGACCTGACCTGACCTGACCTCTGTCCGTTTCAGAGCTGGGCTGGTCACAGCCGTGCGACGTCTGGAGTATTGGCTGCATCCTGTTCGAGCTGTATCTGGGCCTGACGCTGTTCCAGACGCACGACAACCGCGAACATCTGGCCATGATGGAGCGCATCCTCGGCCCAATACCGTACAGGTGAGACCCGTATTGATCACAGCGGGGTCGCTGATGAGTGGGCAGCTCTGCACTGACTACTGAGTCACGCGGGGAGGGGTGTGGGGTGCTGTGTGTGCACCGGATCGGTGCAGAGAGCAGACAGGGGCGAGGGCGGCGCACATGGCGGCCGACACGACGGGGCGATATGTCAGTGTGTCAGGCCCGCCCGATTCGGCTGTCACAGGCGTCAGGTGGGGCTGTCAGGCGTGCACCGCGTCCGGGGGGGGGGGGCTTGTCGGCTGGCGACCCGGCCAATTCCAGACCGCGGTGGTCGCCGATTGATCGGATTTAGCGCGTCGGGAATTACAGCGGCACGGTTCTGTGAATTAAGGGACCGGAAGGCGCCTCATGGTGTGTTCGATCAGGCGTGTTCCGTGTTGTGAATGTATCATTGAACATCGAACGTGTCCTGTCCAGGGCCAATGTCGCACCGCCGAGCTGGCGTCGGCTTACGAACCGTTTTGGCACTGGATTAGCCGTTGTGCACGGTGCGTGTCCTGATTTAAACACATCTATTTGTATTCATCACTTTTTGCACGGCGTCTGCACACCTCCGATTCATTGTCTGCGCGATAGCGTAACTGAACCAGCCCGGCGGCCACGGGTAACTGATACCTATACCTATGACTACGAAGAGTCATGGTGTTCCATTGTTTTTACAGCGAGTTTTTCGCATTGTCATTCACTCAAGCAGCGCGGGCAGTCCGCAGGCGGCACTTGTGACACTATCAAGATAGGCACGACCTCGTGCTGACTCTTGCTTACCCTTCACGCCATTATCGACTGACCTCTCCCATGTGTTTCCGCAGAATGAGCCAGCGCTCCAAGACCAAGTACTTTTATCGGGGACGGCTCGACTGGGACGAGAAGAGCTCGGCGGCCCGCTACGTCCGAGAGAACTGCAAACCACTCCGGGTGAGAGCTCCGGGCAGGGCAGAGGGGGTGCTGGAACGGGGAGAGTTAAGCGAGTGTAAACAGGGCGATGGCGTAGACTGCGGTCGGGTGAGATAAGAAGGATGCGATAAGAACTGCTGGTCTGTGTGGTTTTTCGCTGGCTTGTGCAAACAATGCGGCGGAGTGTAAAGTGCATGGGTGCTCCGAGCTTGCATCAGATCGCTGTAGCTGTCACTGCCGCCCCTGGATCTGACCTGACCTGTCCCCACAGCGGTACATGCAGAGCTCTGACATTTGTGCACGAGCAGCTGTTTGACCTGTCCTGACCTGACCTGTCTTTACAGCGGTACATGCAGAGCTCTGACCCGGAGCTGTCTGACCTGACCTGACCTGACCTGACCTGACCTGTCTCCGCAGCGGTACATGCAGAGCTCTGACCCGGAGCTGTCTGACCTGACCTGACCTGTCTCCACAGCGGTACATGCAGAGCTCTGACCCGGAGCACGTGCAGCTGTTTGACCTGACCTGACCTGACCTGTCTTTACAGCGGTACATGCAGAGCTCTGACCCGGAGCACGTGCAGCTGTTTGACCTGATCCAGAGGATGCTGGAGTATGAACCCAGTCAGCGGATCACGCTGCGTGACGCCATCCGGTGAGTGACGTCATCAGGTACAGGCGTGACGTCATCAGCTGCTGCGGAGGTCACTGCTCGGACAGAATAGTCTGTCCTGTCCCTCAATGGCAGATTATAGCGGCATTGTAATCGCTCAGGAATGTGCGTTTGGTGATGTTCAACGAACCGCAATTCCCTAATCTCATCTACTATAGCCTGGGCAACAATGGCTGACGTATACTTTCAGTGAACTAAGAGCCTACTGGTGTAATCCTAATTGCAGTTTTGCCGCCCATTTGCGTTAATGTGACACTCACGTGACGGTCTCAGCTGTTGCCGTGTCTGGGATATTCGGCTTATGTGATGCGCACATGACGTTCCAGCTTTCAATTCGACAGTGATAATTAATTACAAGATATCTCTGGTCATTTTATCGTATGCAGCTCCTAAATTTTGTATTCGTTTTTGCCGTCATTATAAGACGCATGACCGTAAAAAAGTTCCAAGCATTTGCTCATAGACGTATTGACGCTCTAGCTATGACCTAATTCCATCCGAATCAATATGTGGCTTTTAGTGACGGCTTGTTTCGTTTGCAGACACCCGTTCTTCGCCAAGCTGGAGGAGGGCCGACGGGTGAACGGCTACCAGTGAGCCGGCGGCGCCCGTCCAGGTCACTCCGGCGCGCCCGTGCTCCCCTGAACGTCCCGACACTCCGAAACTTCCGCCGGTGACGACGGCTGATCATCTGTGCGACGCAGAACGCACTCTTCGAGAGCGCAAAACGAAAGGCTTCCGTGAGCTGGTCAGGATATGTGATAGCTCTGAGTGGCAATGTCTGAGAGCAAGAGGAGAGGCAAAGTGTTCTATGACTGTATCTGCGGTTCTATTGGGCGTCTTCCATTCGTGCGGGCTCCCAGTCGGTGGCGGGCGAGAGGTGACGGTCCGTGTCGGACGGAGTGCCCCACGGACGGACGGTCAGCGGCCTTTCTGCGCTCCAGTGGCGCCCCGACAGTGATAAATGTAGATAACTGCGCCGGCGGCTGGGCGGTGGCGGCGGTTAGCGCGGCCAGGGGCCGTGACAGACCTGTCTGCCCATCCCGGCCCGTCACGCGGTCAATGATAGCGCCCAGAGTCGATCGCCCAGGAGTTGGCCCGTCCGCCCAGCCGCGCCGTTAGTGATGACCGACTAGTCGTGAACCCTGTGAGCCGGCGAGGCGTGCTCAGGCGGGGCGCGCCTGGCCGGCTAGTCTGTGCCATTTTATACTTCGCCACCTGGTTGGCTGATGTCGCGCCTTCAGTGGTCTTGTTCTGTGCCCGGTTGTGTGTGTAGATGTGTGCTACTAACCTGTAACCTGCCAGTCAAAATGGGTGTTTGTGGGAGGAGCGAACCGTCCAATGCATAATACTGCATCTGATCTGCTTGAGAGCTTTGTGTGATTGTGTGTCGCATGTTTGTTTTTTTATTTAAATGGTTGGCTTTGTAGGAGCGCCTGTTTGAGTGCCAAGTGTGCACTGCCAGGCTTTACCAGCCCTATCGCCGAAGTCTGTGCAATGGCCGACTCCCCTGTGATGATCAAATGCGTGTTACGTCGAGCTTTGTCGCGTTCACTGCCCGTTAGAAGTGGTAAAACACGGCACATTTACCGTCAAGCTGGAAATGTTTGAACGTTGCCTTATCTGGAATGGCGTACGGGCTCGGGTGACATGTTTGTATTTTCAGAATTGTGAGCCTGACATTTATCTGCTGAGAAACCCATTTAACCCATTTGATCCTACGATATATCGTATATCTCGCTCTTGTTATGCGCCCTGGAGATTCTACACTTATCCCCCCCCCCCCCCAACTATGTTCGCATCAGTTTTCACCTTCGCACGCCTGTTGGCCTGCCGAGCTCTGGATCCAGAGTGGCATCGACAATTTTGTAACGTTCCCCTCTGTTCGCACGGCACATCACGCCGTCATTATATCAAAGTCCATCCGGTGCGCCACACGTATCTCACGTAGCAGTTCGTGACCGGCCGTGGTGATTTCATGTAGAGTCCCCATCCTTTGTCACTGACGTGACCTCTACAAGTGTCAGCAGCCAGGGCGAGAGCCACGTGATCGAAATGATAGCTGTGTAGGTAGTGGCGTGAACGGCTTTTACTGAGTGAAATCTTTGATAGCTGCGTCTGGCGGCGGAAGTGAGAAGTTTTGACACTTATCTGACCGAGGTTTTACCCCCTACGGAGGGCATTGTGTGCTTGTTCGACGTATGTAGCGATCTGGTGCTGTGCTTCTGTGAGCTGAGGGCCGACTGGGGCCGGCCGGCCGAGCGGTGTGTGCCTCTGGTGGCCGTCAGTCCCCGGCCTGTCCCACCGCACGACAGACAAGGTGCCCCACCGGGCACCGTCCTGTCCTGTCCTATCTGACGGTAATCCCGTGATGGTGCGGCGGGACACCGGTGTTGTGGGTGAGCAACGACGAAATACAATGTGAACAGAACGAGTTAATCGAGTGTAGCACGACGCGCCAGGACGCAATGCAGAGACATCGCTCCCCAGCTGCACTCCCTCGAGTTCTCTAGCGCGCAGTACAATAATCTGATCCACATTAGTACAAGCAACTCCCATATACGGTCTCGAGAACAACAACGCGTAAACCCGTCAGTACAGATCTACGGAGCGAATCGAAACAGGAAAAAGGAGCGCTTCCGACAGAAACACTTGCCTCCCCGCACGACAAAACGGTTTTATTGCAATAAAAACAGGTGACCACGTGCGGCTGGACGCTCGACGCTACGTGCGAACAATACACCAACAGTGCTCCAACAACAATTACCTATCAGCGCCGTCCGAGCTGGCTTGAGCCCGGCGCGGTGCGCAGCACCTGGCGTCGCTCAGATCGACGGACCCGGTCGGCCCGACTCACACCCAACAGTCACCGCGAGACGATATACCGTGCGGCGGCAGCGGCGCACGAGGGCGCCCGCCGCTTTGTCAACAACAGCTAAATCCTCGGAAGGCGACCACGTATAGTTAGAATATCACTGCGTCCCGCCCACAGCACGCGCAGAACACAGTGGAGACGACGGCTGGACACCAGCGAAGCGCTCAAATCGCCTGTAAAGGCGGCTGGCGGACTCCGGGAGCAGAGTCCCGCGGAATTCAGCCCATATCGCGAGGCGATAGGGCGCTACATACTTCTACATCGGTTCAGAACGAACCAGAACACTCGTAGTCAGTTACTTCAGACCATTTTCCCAGAACGAGTGGGGTTAAATAGAGAAGCACATCACATCACTATAACACCATCTATAATAGCGTAAGACCTTAGGACAATTGGCCAACGCCACACGCACCTAGTCTCCAATGGAAAACACGATTTCAGTATCGGAAAACTTGAACAATACTATCGTTACTGCCGTTCGGCATTCTGTCGTCATGGCCCGGAATTAGAGCGTTCAGTCAGTGGCGCCACGCCTACCCTTAACCCCATCCGATGAAACTCGGGAACACGGACCGACAATCCTGCCAGACCACGGGCTGACATACCTACGGGTTCGGTCCAGTATCACAAGCATACGTGCATCGCTAGCAGAGCTCAGCTCGTCTGCCACGCCCTCCAGCGCACCTACACCCAATCCTCCGTCCCATCCTCTCCTCTCCATCTGTCTCTTGTGACTCGCTCACAAACCCAGCAACCAGCACTGGCTCCCAATCAGCATCGCCGGCCAGTCCTGTCCCGACCGCCACCCCTGAACTCGCTGGCGGGGTCCACTCACCGCGACCAGACGCTCACACTCTAGTCAGACCCCTCACTCTCCCCTCACCCGCTCTTCCCAGGCACACCCCACCCGCCCCGCCGGCGTTCCGTCCACTGGCTCCGAACACGTCTCGGCGCCATTGCCGCTCTCCAACGTCTCTCAAAAGCTCGGCTCTCCGTCTGTCTTCGCAATCTTCGTCTCACTCTCACTCCCAACGACACTCACCAAGCTCACTTTCTACCTCACTTTGTGTTGCACATGAGAAAGTGTCTCACTGATCCCCGGCAATTCCAAACAGTGAGCCTGGCCTACCGGAGCCGTCCCATCGACCTCCGGGCGCCTCAGCGTCGCTTCGAAGACTGGTCCGCCGTGCGGGCGGTCACTGGCGCTAGCTGGTCACGGTGTTAGTCGCCCACGTGCGGCCGGTAGTAGGGGTTGACGCCGCGGATCGGCAGCGGATGGGCCTCCGTGTTCAGTACCCACTGGTCAAGCGGCAGGAGACTGTTGTCGCTGAACAGCAGGTACAGGTACTGCGGCGGAGGAGGGGCGGCGGTCAGACTACAACCGGCGAGTCGGGGACGACCAGGAAGGGATACCTGGGGATTGTAGAATCAAGAATGCCTACAGACAACATTATTTTACAAAAGATACGCCAATAAAATGTAAGACATGAGCGCACTCTTTTGCCGTGAGCGAATTCCAAAATGGTAGCAGCCGCCCAGCATCAGTTACACCACTAGTAGATCCATCGACATCTAGCAGCACAGCGAGCAGATTATCAAAATGATGTAGCACTGGCATCCCCTTCCCAGGAGAAACGTTCGCTACGATGTTTTGAAGTCAATCCACCAAATCCAGTGGCGCCAACTACACAGTGCTGAGTGCAGCTGCGCACCCCACCCTTCTACCTTTATCTACAGTACTTTCCACTCTCGACATTCCCTCATTCCTCTTTTTCCTCCCTCCCTCTAGAGAACATACCTTGAGCGTTTCTGCGAGGAAGTAGCTCTGTTGCACGTCGTCCTGCCGCGGACTGGTGGAGTCCACATTCTGTATACCCGAGTAGCCAGCCTCGGCTCGACAGTACCTCTCAATAGCCTGTGGACGAGACAGGGCGCGGTGAGGGAGTCAGAGGTAGTACAGAGATACCGAGCGTGTCGGTAGTAGGGCGTATCCCAGTCGATAGTTACTGCCGCAAAACTACCCACTAATGCTCCCCACGAAAATATTAAAAATGATAGCAATTCTCATAGCAGAACCATTAGCAAAATTATTTAATATGTCTCTCAGAACTTCAAAATTTCCTAATCTTTGGAAGGAAGCCAATGTCACACCAATTTTCAAACGTAAAGGATCGGCAGCTGACCCACAGAATTACAGACCCATTAGCCTTCTATGTTGCTGCTCTAAAATTTTAGAAAAAAATCATATTCAAACATATTTACGACCACCTCATCGAAAATTCGCTTCTTTCTGACAATCAAAGCGGGTACAGGCCTCACCACAGCACGCAACTACAACTAGCCTACATGACTGACAGCCTCTACAAATCACTGGACAAAGGACAAGACTTTACTGCTGTTTACTTAGACGTGACAAAATATTTCGACAAGATTTGGCATAAAGGTCTCCTGTTCAAGTGCGGAAAACGACTTCTCTATCACTGGCTCTCTTCTCGACTGGCTGAAATCATACCTAACTGACCGAAGACAGAAAGTAAGAATAGGGAACTCATGCTCAACGACAATGACTTTAAACTCCGGATGCCCGCAAGGCTCAATTTTAGGTCCACTTCTTGCCCTCCTGTACCTTGACGGACTCCCTGGACAACTGAAAAAACACCGCCCTATTTTACGCAGACGACATATCATTATACGCATCATACACACCCGACAACATGACACAAGCACAACTTTCACTTCAAGAAGACCTTAACACAATTGAGCAGTACGCACAGCAATGGGCCATTACTTTTAGTTCATCAAAAACCATAACTCAGACATTCAGCATAAGAAATAACTATACTTCACCTCAACTTCAATTCAATGGGCAACTAATATCAAAAACGGACACTCATAAGCATCTGGGATTAACTCTATCAGAAGACCTGCGTTTCAAGACCCACGTCACCACAATCATTCAAAAAATAAACATCGCCCTCAGCCCCCTCTACCCAATTGCGAAATTCCTTCCACGACAGACACTTAACACCATATACAAGACCTACGTGCGACCATACTTCGACTATTGTGACTGCATTTACGACGGACACATCACTGCACACGACGAATTAAGACTGGAAAGACTACAAAACAGATCCGCTAGACTCGTGACGAACACACTACATCGGACATCCACAGACAAACTTAGAGACGAACTCGGTTGGGACAGTTTGAAGACGAGACGAAAAATCCACAGGCTTTTTCTATACAAAAAGATCAAAGACAATACACCTCGCATACCAAACTACATTACAAACATGATCCCAGAGGAGAGAGGGCGCACGGCAGGACGAAATCTCAGAAATCAAAACCACCACACAGTCCCGCGAACTACAAAATCCTGCTACCAGAGATCCTTAATTCCCAAAACATCCCTGCACTGGAACCAATTGCCTACGCACATACGAAACTGCCAAGAGATGAAAAATTCAAACAAAGCATTAAACAACTACTCGGCACACCACAGCCCCCACACTACAAGTTACAACGCACTAGGAACTAAGGTTGGGAACACTTTGCACACACAAATCAGACTGGGGATGTCCAAGTTAAACGCACACCAGTACTCTATACAAAAAGTAACAAGCCCCGAGTGCGCCTGTGACTACACACAAGAAAACACAAAACACTTCATCCTTCACTGCCCACACTACGCACTGACGAGGTCCACACTATTTGCACAAGTATCCACACACCTCAACATTGATTTCAACAACCAATCAGACACCATGAAATTAGACACACTTCTACACGGACACAACACGACAAAGCAAAACGCACCTCAGGTTCTCCTTGCCTTTCAATCCTTCCTCAAAAACACCTCCAGACTGATATAGCCCCGTCTCGGTGGACTGGCGCCGGCCCGCTATCACCGCTTATCAATGCAAACTGTCGCGGCAGCCGACCTGACTCTCCGCGGCCCTGGATTGTACCATATTCATTTATTCTGTTTACGTTACCAGGTGGTGGTGCCTCGATTTAAGCATCAGCTTTTGCACCACCACCTGGACTATTTACTTATTTCCATTTTATGTCTAATAAATGTGTTTTGTTGTTGTTGTTGTTGTTGCTAAGGTATTCGAAACGTCCATTCATCACTGAGACGATGAGCATTGGAACAAGACAAGTGTAGCGCTGCTTCATCAAGAGTCACACTCAATGAACAAACTCGTGACCTCAGCATCCCACCCAGCCCCACTTAGACATCCTCGGACTATGCCCTACCCACATCTCAAGACGACCTCACAGTGTCATTTGACTAGTTCCTACCTCACAGTCCCATCTGGGCACCCATCTCCATCCGCTCATCCCTAAAGTAGCCTCCCAGCCCCATCTGAACGCACCTGCGCGGCCTCCCATCCCCACTCGCGGTACTTGGGGTCGCCCGTGAGCCGCCACAGGACGAAGTAGCTCTCAATGACCTCCGGACGCAGGATGTAGTACTTCTCCTGCAGTTTCATGGCCTTCGCCTCGATGGCGTCAGAGAACCTGTGGTGACGGAGGGCAGCGGTCAGCAGATAA